TGAATTTGACAGAAATGGACTGAGCACACAGTCTCAATAAAATTAAAGACAGGTGGTTCTGGATACTGTGCCACAAGCCAAGTATAAGGATGCACCTTGGTGAATACTGCCTGCATAAGGAGCAGCATATCACTTCCTCATAAACTAGATAGACACTGGCAGGCTATTCCAGAGTGTAAAGATTAATATGATGTAGTTTGATCCGGTAGTTTAGACATAGCTTCAGCTCTGTGCTCTGGTTATGAATAGCCATTGCATTAAAGTTATGACCTGCGTTTAAATTCACTGCTGCTATTCTTGCTATCAAGATAGTCCTTTTGAAGAGACTAAGATAGTTTTTTTTGTATTTTTGCCACTAATTAACACAAAAAAGATAATTTATTTTTTCCTGAAGCTGCACTGATTCCTCCCTAAAACTGATTCCAAAATTCAAAGACAGAAACTTTCCAAGTCTCTGCCCCAGACATGAAAGAAAAAGAGATACAGCTGTTGAAAGGGAATGGGAACGGAACTGACAAGACTTCTGATGCCATGTCAGGGATGATTTTTAAGACCTGGAATAGGGAGTATAGAATAAGAATTCAGCGGTACGTGAGAATCTTTTCAACTTTAATTTTATGAAGATTAAACCTGATGTCCTTCCATGTTGAGGACTCAGAACAGCTGGGATTGGACCAGTGTCAGACAGTGCCCTGGCTCCTGTAGAATGGATGGCTTTTGACACTTGATGCTGCTCTATACAACTGATGAACACCAGATCCCTGCTGCAGGGCTGAAAGTGTCACATGCCCCACCACCACATACAGACTCTTTTCATTAATCACTGTTACATGTTTCACGATGTGCATGTCACCTCAGACAAAGGAAGACAAGGCAAGCAAAACTTTCAATTTTTATGTCTTTCAGTAATTGGAACAGACCTTCCCGAATCAGCTCTGTCCTTCACAGAAGCTGTTCCTTTAGATCTCCTCCTTTCTTCATGCTACTGTCTCAATGAGGAGGTTGTTAGCAAACATATACTCTAATATTGTTCTTCAGATTTTCCTAAAGAGTGTTTTTCTGATTGGTTTCAAAGGGATTTCGTTCTGATTGGGAAGCAAAATCAATCAAACAAACAAAAAAAAACAAACCAAAAAACAGACATTCTTCTTAAGAACTCGATATCTATCTGGCTTGAGTTAAGCTATTTTGAGAAACCTTTTAAGAAGTAAAGAATAGTCCTTTCAAAAGTACCTGAGTAACTTCATAATAATGCATCCATGGGCAGCTTTCTCAAATTAAAACAGTGTGAATCCAACCATCATAAAGAATTCAGCAATAACAAACTAAAGTGATTCACCAATGAATCAACCAACCATACCAGTGGTTTTTTTTTTACTTCCTAGTATCTGTCACCAACCTTGAAATATCCAATACACGGTGGAGCTGATACTGCAAGAAGTACTGCAAAAACTACAAGAAGTTTTTGTTTCAAGCTTATTGTGTGTACAAAGCCAAAAATCAAAACTACATGGGACAACAATCATTCTAATCAATCACTTGTCAGCATATTTTTAACACTAAAAAAAAAAATGGCCTGTGGAAATTATACAATAGACTTGAAGTAGGAGATTATATATACACAGAGACCTGATTTGTCCACTCTGCAAGGTACCCACTTGTCATGAATTTAAGATCCACCCCTTGAACTTATTGAAAAAGTAGTTTTCTGAGTCAACAATAATGTTAAGGTATTGTTTTAGTCTCTTTATGTAATCTCCTTGTATACTACTGATCACTCTATTGAAAATATATCAGAAGTACACATTCTCTCTCTGATCTTAGTAAGGATCTGGAGGTCTGTTTGGCAGCCTGCTTCTTGTGCCCCACCAGTAACAAAGCTGCCTCAGAACGAAATGAGCTCCGCTCATTGTCATCTGTCATAAGGATGCTCAAGGCATGAAAGTCTCCAGTTCACTGTTCTGAGATTGTGCTTACCTTGCACTGCTAACACCTACATCCTTGTACTGGGGAAACAGGAAGCAGAAATGTTAATAAGCAAGAGCTGTCATGAAGCTCATTGTTTTCTACCATAAATTCATTCTAAATTCACAAACATGGCAAATGTGACTTTTCCTGCTTCCAAATATAAATACTTGAGTATTTCAGAGACCACTCCACTCTGATGGATGCACATATACCTCTTATTTATAGGTTACTTGATTTTAAAATAAAGCAAACAAATTAAAAAAAAAAAACAAAACTCTATGTAGATACCTATTTTGTATGATTCCTTGATAAAGTTTTTATTTTAATCAATGCTTTTGGCGATGATAATTCCAACAGTATGGAATGAGACAACAGCCTTTGTTTGCCTAACTGCTGTGTGTATGTAAAAGGCTGTCATGGAGATACGTGAGATTTCTGATCTTAATAAAATGAAATTATCCTGAATGAACTCGTATGTTTTCACAGAGTGAAAGAAACTATTTATCTCAAAAGCCAGAATAACCCTGAAGTAAATGTATGTGGTCAAAGACTGTGTTTGTTTCCATAGACATACCTGGAGCAAAGCTCCCCGTCTCCCACTCTTTGATTCTGTCTTTTAGCTTGGCTTGAGCAGATCACTGAAGTGCAATGCCACATGCATGGGACGTCCCAAAGATAGCTAAAAAGATTTTCCAGACTTCTTCCTGCGATACAGCTTCTCTTTCATTTCTTCAGTTCACATTCTCCAGACTCTATGACATTTTTACAGCATAGCCAGAGTTCCCAGCAAACTGTTAGGTCCAAGTCTGCCCACTCTGCTGAGATAACTTCTCCTCTGACACATTCTTTCCACAGATCAGCAAATCTTCCTACTGCTATAAATGCTCTTCAGTGTTCTCAATCATTTCTAATCCCCATGAAGAAACACACCCTGCCCAAAGCAGGTCTACAGGCAGCTCTGTACATAGCTCTAAGTGCACCACAAGGTTCAGCCAAAGGACCTCCACCGCAGCCACATCTCTGGAGCCTGCTTCTGCTGCCAACAGCCAATTTCTGCCTCTTCCCCAATACCCCAGCTTTGCCTGGACTTGCCACCAAACATCAGGTACAGCATCCTTAACCTCAGAGGCAGACCTACCAACTTGCATTGCAACTGAACCAGACTTAAAAATCCAGCCAACTCCATCATTTAAAGCATCTGTGAGAAATGAAACCACAGAAGAAACTGAACAGCCAGACAAGGTTGCCCAAATGCCACCGTGCATCCCCAAGCCACTGCCCTTCGCTTCAACAGCCAGAGTACTCCTGTCAATTGAGTTAACCTGTATGTTGCAGCACGGTGCAAAAAAAACAAACAAAAAAACCCCACATTACATGTTGATTATGATGATGTGCTGCCATGTCTTAATTCTAGGGAATGTACAAAACAATAGCACAGTGTTATCTGGAGATTGAGACCAAGGCTTCTGCCGGCTTGCTAGTTTAGCTTTTGCTTTTCCCAATATCTCAATTGCCTTAATTAATTTAATAAGAAGTCATGGAGGAAAAAAAAAAGAACAGAAAAATACCAGTTAAAAGTTACAGTAACTTTTAAATAATCAACTAAGAACTTCTCCACATTAACTTACTTTATTCACACAGTCATTATTATAATTTTAATTTATAACATATTTTTCTCATATTCTCATAGTAATTGATCTGGCTCTTTTGAATGAGGTTGGAAGTGAGCTCTGCTCCAGCCCCCAGAAAGCTTGACTCCATCTTCTTTATAACCTCCCTTTAGGTACTTATATACGATTGCACCCACACCCTCTTTTCTCTATGCTTAAAGCCCTAGCTCTTCCAGTCTTTCTTCAGGCTCCAGCTCCACGCCAATGTAAGCAGCCCCTCACTGTCTGCAGAATCACCAAGGTTGGAAAAGACCCACAAGATCATCCAGTCCAACCATCCACCTATCACCAATAGTTCTCACTAAACCACGTCCCTCAGCACAGCGTCCAAACGCTCCTTGAACACCTCCAGAGTTGGTGATTCCACCACCTACCTGGGCAGCCCATTCTAGCACCTGACATGCCCACATACTGGAGAGCCCAGAAATGGATGCAGCACTTCAGCTGTGGTCCCACCAGTGCTGAGGAAGGGGGAGGGATCCCATCCCTTGAACTGCTAGCAATGCATCTCCCACACAATCCAGGACACTCTTAGCCTTCTTGTACTAAGGACACACAGCTGGCACCTTTACAACTTGGTGTCCACTGTGACCTCCACGTCCTTTTCTGAAAAAGAACCAGCATGTACTGGAAGGAACAGCACAGAGTAATTCCTCTCCAGGACCATTTGTTGAGCTACAAGAGGTTCCTGCATGCCCATCTCTCCAGCCTGTCTGGGTCCCTTTGGCTGGCAGCACACATCTCTGACATATCAGCCATTCCTCTGAGATCGTGTCATTAGCAAAATCCATCAGCACTTGTAGGTGCATTCCACCAGGTTCCATGGACTTACAAACATGCAGTTTGCTTAAGTATTTTCTAGCCTGATCACCTTCCATCAAGGGTCCTCCTTGCTCCAGAACTTTCCCTTGCTATCTGCAGCCTGGAATTCCTGAAGTCTAGTTTTTCTAGTAAAGACTGAAATGATGAAGGCATTCAGTACCCCATTCTTTTTCAGGTCTTGGTGTTACCACACCTCTACACCATTCAGAGGTGGCCTCAAATTTTCCTTGCCTTTTTGTTACTCAAGTACTCACAGAAGGCCTTTCTGTCGCCCTTGGCATTTCTAGAAAAATTCAATTGCAGATAGGCTTTGGCTTTCCTAACCACATACCTCACATGGTGAGACAGTCTCTATATTGATCCCAGGCTACCTGTCCTCACTTTTACCTTTCGGCATTTTAATTTTGCCAGGAATAAATTGCCCATTCATGCAGGCCTCCTGCCACTTTTGCTCGACTTTTTACTTGTTGGGATGGGCTACTCACATGCTTGGAGGAAGTGATTCCTGAGTGTCAATCTTGGACTCTTCTTCACCCTAGGGTCCCATACCATGGGACTTTTTTTCAAGCAGATTGCTGAAGAAACTACAGTATCCTCTGCTATGCTTAATTCCATAAATATAAATCAAAGCAACAGTATATTCTCATTTTCTGTCATTCTCTATCTGAAATTCCCCATTGGATCAGGAAAACTTACTGAGCCAGCCCACCTTTGTTTTGATACTCTTTCCAAGAAAGGATTACAAAGAAACTTAAAAAAAAAAAAAAAAAAAAAAAAAAAAAAGTATTTTTTTCTGTCTTCCCAAGGTTACAATTTGTTTTTGTCAGAAATCTCGGATCCATGAAAGAATAAATATTTGCTGCATATTTTTGTCTCCCCTTCCAATAACTTCTTCCATAGATGCATGGAAAAACCTCTTCTGTTTGACTCTAAGTGTTGCTCACCTGTTTTTCATAACAGTCAATTTCTAGGTTCACTTGTGCACTTCAGCTGACATCTTCTATAACAGCTCTGTGAGTCTGTGTGGGCTGTTATCTATAATGTCATTCTTACAACTGCATCATATTCTAAACATTTAATTTTAAAGAGCCATAGGTCAGATTTGCTTGCTTTTCCATACATCTCTCCAAGTCCTGCTGCAAGTTATCCATCTTGAGTATTTATTATTTTACTCCATCTGGTTGTGAAGCTGTTTTTCTCTGATCCAGGATTTCATGACAACTTTTGTACACTTCTATCAAGCAGTCCAGACGTGGTTTGGAACTCTAGAAGTCAAGCCAAACAACAGAGAATCACACTGTTAACCAGTTGTAAAAAGGAGATTTGTTGGACAGAGAAAGGAATGTGGAGCCAGCTGACACAAAGCTGATGGATAGAAGCATACACGTATAAGGAATGCAACAGTAAGATATCTCTAGTTACTATCTCACATTAACTCAACTGAGAATAGATTTCCTTTTTACATGCTCATCTAGAATTCATCAAATTCCAGGAGCCTTTTAATGTAAGTTGTGACAAAAGAATCAGCCACATCAGCTCAGGGATGAAAAGCACCAGTCCCCAGAGCTGTCAGGTTAAAACACACAGCACCACTCTCCAGTCAGCCTGAATCTCTCACCAAATCAGAGATCCTCTCCTTTCAACTCACAATGTACAGTGAAAATACAGAAGAAAATCCACATCTTCCAAGCCATTAGCCTATCTGTGAGACAATATTCCCTCAACGATCTCCATCCTGAAAAAATGACCTTCAGAACAAGGAGCTTACATGCTTGGCCCTTAGCCACAGCTATTACTGTCAACAAGAGGACAACTGAAGGTTAACTGAAAACATCAATTAATTTCACACTAATAGAGGAATGGTAGTCAGAGAATAATGATTCTTCATCATTCCTAACCTGGATCAGCAGGAAGATGAAAGTTTCCCAGTTCTGGGATCCCTATGGCTCCATGACTATTGAGATCTCAAAACAGCATTACTGTGTAAAGTCCATTTAATGCCTTTCTTTGCAACCATTGCTTAAGAGAACAATAGGTCAACTCAGCACAGAAGTACTCCTGGGTGCAGTGACATGTTAAGTTGTGTTTCTGAGGGCTGACATGCCTTAGAGGAGCAAAGACCCACTGAAGGAGATGCAAGAAAGTTACTAATTACTGCTCCTTCAAAACTAAGTAACTTTAAAGTGAGAATTACTGGCAGGTAACAAACTGCAAACTGACACAGCTCTTTCTGTTAATCCTTTGCTGGTGGAATCAACACTGCCAACATTAAGATATTTCCAAAGAAATAACACTGTTCAGACTTGAGTTAAGGAGGAAAAAAAAGAAAAAAAAACAGGGAAAAAAACCTAACACACCAATGCCAGGAAGCTGGAAAGGAACACAAATCCTGAGTGCAGCTGCCTGGAATGCACTTATTGTGAATTCCTCGGACATAGATGAAATACTTAATTTATTTTACTGTTAGTAAATATGTTGTAGATATTTACAGTTGTAAATATCTATGGATTAGTGCACTTATTCCTCTAAGTATTCAGCTGAAGACTTAACTGTATCCAGTCATAAATTGCATTTGACTACAAACTGATATTCATGAGCAGTTGGTGAACAGAGAGGAAGATAAACACGACATCAGCAGTCTAGAATATGAGGTACATCTGTACTCCTTACTTACACTCAAGGATCAGTGTATTGCTGAGTGAAGTACACACAGAGAAAGAAATTCCATCCCCAAAACAGGATTATGAACAGCCAAAACAGGTTAGCGAGAGAAGAGAAAGGACAGAGTATGAGTAAAGCAGGGTATGAGATAGACAGGGTGTGACTAAAACAAACAAGTTATTACACATTAAGCAAATTGCTCACAGCTTGTACTGTGATCTTTGTCAGCGGTTGTAGGGGAAGCTATCATTGTAAGCCAAAGAGATTTTAAGACTGCCGAGAGATAAATCAACTATGGCAATACAATTACAAAGGTAACACTGAGCAAGAGATTACACAGAAAGCTGTGCAAGTCCTCATTACCATCAGTGAGCCAAAGACTTCCAGTTCATGCAATCTACTGGTCAGATTCAAAACTACATAGCGCCCTATTCCTAGCATGGAGGACCAACAAACAAAACTTCCCTGGTACTTAATTCTGTGAGACTGAGTATTGCTCACAGCACACTGCTGTAAGATCCAACTTGAATGTGCAGTCGGAGAAAGGCAGCTGTAACCCTTTGTCCCACGTGTGGTGGAACAAAGGTACGCCAAGGCATCTGACACACACACAAAAGACAGCTTTGTACTGCCTCGTTATTCAGTCACACTCACCTGAAAGAGTGGCACAACCTCAGACACTCCCTGAGGATCCTGAGGGTCGCACAGGAGGATGCACAGGTAATAGATAACTTTCTGCTACAAGACAAACAGAACAAATAATTGAAGTTTGAAAATGTTATCAAAGTGCCTGGAGTCATCACAGAAAGAGCAATTGCTTCAGCTCACCGGGCTGAACAAAATGTGTGACATTTTCTAAAGATAAAACAGCAGAAACATCAGTATTTCAAGAGGGTAAAAATTCTTGCTACAAGGTTATGAATAAAGCAGCTTGAAATCAGTCCCTTTCTCTTTTTTCCTGTTTGTGTTCAGCCTTAAAAATATCAGGATGGTTTTGCTCCATGAACTTCTCATTTTGAATTGAAAAGGTTGCAGGAGGATTTTCAGAAAACCCATCCTTTCTGTAAAGCCATTCTTCACCCAAGTCTACTCAAGTTACTGAAGTTCAAGATATTACTAAACATATAACAACAAAAAACACAGGAAAAAAACAACAAGCAGCATAGGATTTAAACATTCCTGCTGACAATGCCTTTCTCTTTTTTTTTTTTTTTTTTTTTTTTTTATACAAACCATTTTACTAATTACCTGTTTTGCCTTTCTAAGAAGTTATACAATGCTGGACCATGTTGAAGATTGTGGAGACTTACTAAGAATTTGTTTTCATCTGTGATGATTTCACACACGTCAGTGACATTGTGTACAACCTCAGTTCTCTGTAACCGTTTGAACTCAACAGTGATGGTGGCACAGCACACCAAGTCTTACATAAAACTGACAAGCAAGTGCAAAGGCTTTTCTGCCTCCTTGCATATAATGAGAAACCTTTGTTTCCTTTTGCTAGAAAACTTTATACAGACCTATGCAAATCTCCATGTCTTCCCAGAGTGCTCTTCAGGCAAAACAACTCTCTTTTGGGTAAGTCTAGCAGAAGATGACTTCAGACTCACATACATTAATCTGTTGGATTTATGGGTGTCACAGCTGCCTGCTTCAGCCTTCTGTGGAAGTTACAGCTTTCAACCCCCCCCTTTGATGCAAGCAGCTTGGTGCAGTATGACTGCCATCTCCCAGTCACTCCAGAGCACAGTCAAGTCTACATATTTGTATTTATGCAGCTGTATTCAATTGCAATGCCAAACCAGTCCTGTGAAAATACGTGTGATGGGCGCACCTTCAAGAAAGGTGGGTACAAGAAAGACGATATGATTACCATATGGATGGCTTCATTGATAACCACATCCTTCACTTGGCTCATCTCAATGAAGGTTGTGCTCTCCTTCCCTGAAGCGTAAGATGAAGTCACCTGAATGCCAAGTGAGCCGATGACCAGTAGGGATTCCTGGTCAATTTTCACAAAGTGCAGGTAGATGATGAGGCCGATCAGCGTGAGGAATATAGCAGCAGAAAGCACCATACTATTCTGCAACACAAACCAAGCAAAGACAGGGCTCTAGTCTTAAAATTAATTGAACGTAGAGTATAAGTATGTAAGTATATAAGTAAATACTGAACAGTTAATCATAATATAATGGCTACATTTACAAGGTGATTTTACATAGGTGGAGTCCATTCATTCAAAAGGCTGGCTGATATGAGCATGATGGATTTAAGTCACCAAACATCACCCTTCATAGGATGGTCTGAAAGAACGACTGAAAATGAAATCAGCAAGAACACTGTATTCCCTTGTAAAGTTACTGGTTAAATCCCATCCAAATGCAGTTGTATACATCATTGACAGTGTATTATACAGGTATCTGTAGGGATACAGAAATGCTGTTAAACGTTTACTTGAACTAAGCTTGGTGAATTCGAAGAAAAATCTTTCAGCAAAAAACACTGGCCTGGGCCTATTTAGGAGATACAAGTTTTCTTCTTACCATGGGAAGTCTAAATTCATTCAAACTTTGCCTCTCTTCTTGCCTTAAACATCAAGCTTGAGAATGTCTGCTTCCTCCTGTGCTTCACCTGAGGACAAACTGTTTTTTGCATGCTGCAACCTTGGGCTTGTTGCTACATAAAACAATACATAAGTTTACAAATATATGTTCCACAAGTCATCTTTTCTCAGTAAATCAGCAGCATCAATGAAGGACCTGGTAACGAAGCCTGAAGGCTTTCAACCTATAGCTGCTTTTTGGGATCTTTCAGAGAGTACCAGGCCACACACTCATCAGCCCGAGTTAAACCTAACACTTCCTAAGGGCTAGAACTGCAAGGCTTTACCAGAACGGCACAGCTCTGCCATGCAAGCAGCGCACAGTAGACTCTATCACCATGTGAGGTGATAAGAAAGAAGCCGTGGCATCATACAAAGAGAATAGAAACAGAGCTTTTCCCACAGTTTGTTGTCATGGAAAGGCAGTCATGAGTTACAAGAATTGAAATCCACGAAGACAGCCATTCAGACCCGGTTTGCTGGCAGAAAGGAATGACTGCAGCCACACGCGGGCCGCAAGAGCATATGTAAAACTGAGTTGGACGACAGCGGGCAGTAGCTACCGCATAGCGAACCACTGCCAATTGACTCCCGCTATCCTTCCTGCCTTCGTTTCACGGAAAAGACCGCTGAGGCCAAAACGGAAGCGCAACAGCCGCAGTGCGGCCGCAGCTCCCGCCCCGCACCAGCAGGGCAGAGCACGGTGCGGCTCGCTCGGATCCGCGGGCAGCCCCAGCAGGCGCCCTCCGGGACCCGAGCGCAGCGACGCGCAGGGCCCACCTGGAGGCGCCCGCCGCCCTTCTCCGCCGGGGTCCCCACGAGGAGCCGAGGGGGGCGGGGCGAGGGTACCTGGCAGAGCGCGAAGAGCCCGTAGGCCGCCAGCCAGACGGCGGAGGTGACGGCGCTGAGCGAGCGGAGCTGCAGGCGGGGGCAGCGCACGGCCAGCTCCCGGCAGGAAGCGCTATGCTGGCGGCACCGCAGCGCCAGCGGCGCCCCCGACGCCGAGCGATAGCGCCTCTCCTCCATCCGCACAGCGCCCCGCTTCCGCCGGGAAGGAAAAAGAGGGGAAGGGAAGAGGCGGGCGGCGCGTGCGCGGAACTGCGGGAGCCTGTGTGCCGCCTGGCTATAGGGGCTCCGGTTGCGTTGTTCTCCTGTGTGGCTCTCACCGTGACGGAGCGGGGCAGGCGTTTTCCCCCCGCTTGTCCCCCTCCGGTACCAACTTTCCGTGTGCAACTGCCTGCCTTCGTGGCGGCTGCAGAGTCCCTGCGTGGTGTGCCGTGTAAACAAAGGAGCGGCGAAAATGGGGGCCGAAGGGGGTGAGGGCAGAACCGGTGGGAAAAAAAGCCTGCGTAGGCTGAAAATGGGACGCTAACATTAGAGACGGGGCCTGCGCGTTGTTACGAGGAGAGCAGGCGCTAAAAGCGACCGCCGAGGAGGTGGGCGCGGGGCAGGAGCTGGCGCCGTGCGAGGCGACGGAGCGGAGCGATCCCTCGATGAGAGGCGGGGAGCCGCCCCGTGCCACCGCCGCTCGTTCGGCTCTCCTCAAAGCACGTGCATACGCGCATAGAAACTTGAGCTTCAGCAATACCAAAGTGCCGGCTCCCGCTCTTAGGTCACCGCATCCCCGCCCAGCGCCACGGGCTGGAGCACAGCGCCCGGGGCAGGTGCGCGAGCCCCCCGCCGCGGGAGTGGAAAAACCCCAGCGCCGCGGGCGCGTGACGAGGAGCCGCCGCCCGCCCGCGTCGCGCGAAGGGCCCCGCTCCGCTCTGTGGGCGGGACACACCTCCGCGCGCGCGCGCCGCCATTGGCCGGGAGGCCCGGGGGTGTGCGGGCGGGGGCGGGGCCGGGCGGCGCGCGCGGAGCTGGAGCCGGCTAAAAGGAGCGGCGCGGCGGCGGCGGGCATCATCTGCCGGCTCGGCATCTCCTGCGCCATGGCTTTGCGCGGTGGCTTCGTGCGGCTCTTCCTCAAGCGGGCGGATGCGGGGCTGCGGCCGCCCCGGCGAGCGCATTCGGTGGCGCTGGTGGGCGCCCCGTTGTCCAGGGGACAGGTGGGCGTATAGCTGGGCCGGGGGGCCGCAGCCCGGTGGCGGGCGGTGCTCGCTAACGCGTCTCTTCTTCTTTGTCTGGCAGAAACGACGCGGAGTGGACCGCGGCCCCGCTACTCTCCGCGCCGCGGGGCTGGTGGAGCGGCTGGCCGGGCTCGGTGAGGCACCGCCGCGCGGGGCTGGGGGGGTTGGAGCGGCCGTTCGCCCCGCGTTCCGCTGCGCCGGGGCCGGGAGAGGCTGCGCGAGGGGCTGCCGGCCGCCGATCTCCCGTACCGAACAGCCGGAGCCGCAGCGCTAAGCTCGCGGGATGCCCGGAACAAAGGGCTCGCTGCCGCAGCCCGCCCGCCTTCCCGGCTCCTGGGGACCGCATCCGCTCTGCGCTCGCCTGCGAGCGTGTGCTGCTCCCAAAAGCCGGAGAAGCATCGGGCCGCGTAGGAAGCGTTCCGTGTACGCAGCCAAAGGATGCCCTTGACCGCGCCCCTCGGTTTTTTTGTCCCTGTCCATATTCGTTGCTAGGAACTCCGCTTGTTCCCACAACGGTTGTATACTTTCAAGTAATGAAACTCGGAACTTTCTGGAGAAACGTTCAGGTCTGCATCTGTCTGAAGGCTTAGCATGTCTGTCTTTCAGTTTCTTGCACCTATTGTTTCTAAAAGCCGAGAACTCGTTAATAACTGACACAGCATTCAAAACGTGATGTAAGGGACAGAAATCTTTAAAGCGGTCTTGGAGAATCTTTAGGTAGTGCTGAAAACTATCAGAGATGAACCACAGGGGTGGACCAACAACAGAAAGAACCACATTAGCACTAATCGCATACACTGTAGGTAATGAAATTCAGATGCGTGCAGAGGAAAGATAATCGCTTAATAGCCTTCTAGCAAATTTAATCTGAATTATGAAACCACTTTATACCTGTTGTTCTAGGGCTATTGTTCTGTACAGCCCTATGGGCTCACTGTGTGCGTTTTGTGATTCACAAGCTGGAAAGTCCCAATTTGCCAGCAAATGAATAGATGCTCTTTTTCTGTCCTGTCCTATGCCAAGTGGAGTTGGAAGTCTTGCTCATCTCCTGCATATCCTTGGCAATATTTGACTTGTTAGCAATCGTGATCTATAGCCACAACAAAAATAGAAGAGCTGCTGGAATAAACACAGGTCAAGATATTGCTGACCTTAAAGTTATTGAGAATAACAAGTTAGCAGCTTTGAAAGGATGTGTTATCCTTTGTGAGAAGGAAGGCAGTGGTTTGACATAAATGACAACAGAACTCCCCATTGGAAAGCTCTCTTTCAAGTAGTTCAGATATAATACTTCGCATTTTATAGAAATCCTTATTTTGAAATAAAATCTCCTCTGCATGACACATGCTCGCTTCACTAGAAACTTGAAGATGAGGAGAAAGGAGGATCCCTTTCAGGACTTCAGTAACAACAACAAACAGTAAGGATAGAAATGAAGCAAACTAAATTTGGAAATAAACAGAAGATGAAGAGTACTCTCAGTACTCAGTTGCATATGGACTGCTTGCTAATTTGTTAGTAATGTAAATGGAGATGCTTTCTTGCTCTTCCTTTTAAAGTTTTTAATGTCTCTGGCATTTTTTCTTCCTACAGTTTTAGTTTTCTGTAGCATTCCACTGGCATAGTGCTCCTTTCCATTTGGCATTGATGTTTATTGCTTCTTGAATCTCTGCACCTCTCCCCTGACCTGGCTCAGATGGCACAAACGTTGTAACATGTTCTGTGTGAGGGCAGGTCCCTGGCATGGACTGAGGAACTGTTAAGTGTGCAGAGACCATCTGCTGGAGGACGGGGTGATAGGCTGAGGAGAGAACTACAATACAGCCTTTTAAATTGTGCACATCTATTTGTGGAAACTTAACTAATGATCAGTTTTTGTGTGGGAGCTGGCAGGATAGCTTTGCCTGGAGTAATGTGATAGTGCCGTTGCTTGGCCTCCTGTGGTATGCTGAACTGGCATTAAAACTTCTTCCTTTGTTTTCACCTTCCTAGCACACTGCATTTTCTTCTTGAGATTGAAGAAGGCAAAAAAAAACAGTGCTACTCTTATTAACTGGAGTCTTCTATCTATCTGTTCTGCTAAAAGAATTGGTTGTTCTCATGGGTCCTTGCTTCTCGTTTTCCAGGAGCAGGCAGATAATTGCAGCAGAAAAGATTTCTCCTTAAAAATAATGTCTAAGATACGAGGCTTCTATTTTCCTATATATATATATATATATATTTTATTTCTGAAACTTTCACATGAATAAGCTGCAGGTGCTGTTTTGTTTTGTTCCCACTCCTTCCCCTTCCAGCAGGGTTGTTGGAGATGGCTATAGACATGACTGCAGTTTGCCCTTGTCATTACAAACTTGGAGCTGTGGGGTGATGCTTCCCAGCAAGAAAGTGAGGTGGATTCACAGAAGTCAAAAGAAACATAAATGGGAAGAGGAAATGTCATTTCTATAGGGAAAACTTCACTCATTTGTTTCAAATAGAAGAGACTGCTAAAACCTGCTGTTTGCCTGAAATTGTAAAGTTTCTTTCTCATTTTCCATCCACATGTTCAATTTGACCTGCATAAAATGCAGATGCTCTTAAGTTCACTTGAGAACTGTAGCACTTGGATAGTAAGATCCATGTGCTGTTTAAGTCACAGGTATTATACTTGATTACTTTGAATATCAAGGACTGCATGGCTTTCTGCATGTGTGTATATCTAACTGAATAACTTCGGTAGATAATGCTTGAGGTATGTCAGAGAAAGTGAGAACACCACATCTTAGGTTCTTCCTTTTGGCACTCTCCTGTTTGGAAGGGATTTCTCTGTTCCCCTCATTCTATTTTAACAGATATACTTTTATAGTTCCATTGCAGCCTCCTGAGCTGCTGCTCTATTTTCTGCCTTCTTGAATCTTTCCCTTGAAAGACACTGACTGTAGGCATATGGTGTCTTTTGGGCTGTCTAGAATGATCATTGCTGCTGAGCAGCTTGTTTATGCTTAGGCTGAAATACAAAGAGGGAGCTGAGAGGCAGATGGAATCACTAGCCTGTCAGAGACAAATCTGAGCCACTAACTTGTCTTCTATGCTCTCCTTAGAGTGAGAACACTGTTACCTTCTGGTATTACCTTAAGGTATACTCGGGAAGAGAGAGAGCTAAGGTAGCAGGAGTCCAGCTCTCAAGCCAAAAACAGTGGGTGTGCAAGTCTGTAGCAAGCATAATTAAAACACAACTGACTAAGCCTGTGGGCTTCTTAATCACTTTAGTGATGTTTGTCTTTTGGCATTGTTTCTTTTCCAAAGGGAAACTAAAATATTAACACCTTAAAGGATTCTACAATCTCTCCAGAGAAGAAAAAAATATCACATGAAAATAGGGATTCTTAACTCTCTGGTGTGGAGGAGACAACACAAAAACTTGGAGGGCTGTGTATTGTTCTAGCAGTTAACAGAAATAGGCACAAATAGGAGGTTCTTGATAGGAGGTTCTTGGACTTCCACTGGAAAGTACTCTTTTCAGAGGTTTGTTTTTTGTTTGACACCTCCTTTCTGCTGTACCTTATACAGAGAATCTGATTAACCTTAAATTCTGTGTTGCTTAGTCCCCTTACTTGAAAGAAAAAAGGACCATTCTCACGCTGTGGTGTTTTTTGTTTGTTTGTTTTTGTAAGCAGTAAGTAGCTCTCAGTCACTTCAAAGGCTGTTGTGAGCTAGAGCACCATTAGTGTTGCTAGCATGGAAATAATGCTGGTACAAGAATGAAGACTTTGGAAGAACTTCGATATGTTGACTATTGCTAATTTTTGTTTTATTTAATGAGCCAAATGTGGCTGGATTGCTGTGTTTAGTCACAGTTGGGTTTCTACTACTCTAGAATGCATTTAAAAACACTGGAACAGAGTTGCTTGCTTGACAAGTTGATAGACTGCAGTCATGAAGCCTACAATGCTAGTAGAGCTAGACTTGTCCAAAAGAATGACCATCATGTTGCTGCTCTTCTGTTTTACTAAAGAGCTTATTTCCTGTTATAGTATGCAAGAGGTCAGTGCAGTGAATCAGAAAATTTAAGGAGATACCTCCTCAAAAGAGGAAAGGAGGTGCTAATCCCCATGTGACTGGAGATAGATGCTCCTGCTTTGCCTAAAACCACTGGATCCCTGCTGACATCAGCTCCTTAAAATAGTAATTTAGTTTTCCTGTCTCACCAACGGATGAAGTTATAATTTCAGATGAAGACTAGTTTCTGGATTGATGAAAAATAAATAATGAAGCAGCTACTTTGACATATCCACCATCATCTTCTCAGGTGAAGATTCTTAAGAAGATAGCTTTTTAATTGTATACCGAGAATAAGCACTGGTGCTGGAGTTCAGCAGAGGTGACTGGTAACATCTACAGCTGCCATGTTAGGAAAAGAATTTTCATCAGCACATCTAGTAACTATGACAAAAATATTAAAGAATCGCCTGTGTCCCTTAAGACTTGGCTACACTGTTCCTTTCTGCTTTCCTTAAATTTAAGTCAATATGATAGTTTGGCCTTTAAAAAAAAAAAATTAAAATAAAAATACATGTTTGTATTTAAAAACAACAGAATTTGTCAGGAATTCAGTATTTTGGTGTTCTAATCTAGTTTAGATGTGTACTGTTTTGTCTCTATTTTTCCTCTTCAAAACTCAGTATTTTATATCCTTTAAGGCATTCTAGGTTAGTAGAGCCAGTCAAGTCTCCTTAATCTGTGGAATTCCAAAGTCTAAATTTCCTCCCTAGGTAAACTCAAGATCCGTCCCTTTTATTTTAGTGTTGTTATTCACATTTTCACTGTTGATGAGGCCAAAATGGAGGCAGACAAAATAGTAAACTACTGCTCAAAATTTAAGTAGAATGCTTTGTTAAATTCCTGTGTTGCCAAGATGAAAAATACTATTGTTCATGGGTGCTTTCTAATCACATCTACTGTCAATACTGTCAAAGCTGTCTATTAATTTGCTATGTACTTTCTCAGGTTGAAAACTGGTTAGGATACAGCATAAGGTTGTAAACAGTAATAGCTAAGACATCTGCCCTACCAAGCACAATTGGGAACACTTTTTTTTTTTTTTTTTTTTTTTTTTTTAACCCAGGCACACTTCCTCTCCATGCCCAACAAAGCAGGTAAATGGGAGCCTTCTTTCCTTTTCCTTTGCTTCTCATAGACAAAAGCATGCACAAAAACCCCTATTTAACACCAGTATAACATGCTTATGAAGCACTACAGCTTATTTCTAGAACTGGAATAAATTGCTTCCTCTTATTTACACAGAGATTCAAGAGACCCTTCTTTAAAATTATAGCTTTCAAATGTTGTTAAGCCACAAATGGTTAATTTCACAGACTGCTGATACCTGTATGGCCAAAGTCAAGGAAAAGTTAAATGTCATGGTCCTAACTGGCACCCGCAGCATGCCTTTAACATCTGGGCAGCTGTAAGAATGCACTGAGGGCAGGTGTGGCTCTGCTCGGTGACAGCAGACTGCCAGGAGTTGACTGATAACCATGCAGGCAGAAGGAACCCTGTGGAGGCTTTGCAGGAGAGCTGCATTGGGAACATCTCCTGGGAAGCTGCTTCATGGTTGCTTTTTCACAGCTGGCTCTCAGCCCAGAAAGCTAAGCTAGAAGTAGGTGAATATGTTGTGACGCCAGTTATGGGTTATCCTTTTCAAAGTTGGACACTTTGATGTCTGCATGATTATCACGAGGCTTAGAAATTTCTGGAGAAATAACAGCAGTGGATGTACATGGAGTTCAGGCATTCCTTCTGATAGGTCAGTGCTGATTTTCTTTCCTTTCTCATGCTGATGGAAGATACCATCTGCTTGTTTCTTCAGTCTGAAAAGCTCTAAGTGTCACTCTTTGATTTTATGTATATGTGGTTTTTTTTCCCCCTTTTTGGTGCAGATTCCAGGTTATTTCCCCCCCTCCCCCTCCGCCACCTTAGGTGCAGATTCCAGGCTATGAATTAGCTACAAAATAAGCTTTAAAAGAAACTTAACTTAGAATAAAGCACACTGGTTGCTTAAATTGTAAACTGATATGACAAACAATTACTTTAAATAAACCTTTAAAAATACTCAGCTAAACTGGTGCAGATCGGGAAACTGAATTATTTCTGATCTTTCAGAAAAGGAAGATGAGATAAAAGGATCAAAGAATGATGTTCTTTGTCTTGTATTTCATTTAGTTTTATAAACAACGTGTTTCAATCTTGACATCTTATTACAAAAATCATTTTAATACATGGCTTAGCTGATTTGCTTCAGCAACAAAATTATCCGGATTGGAATAAATTCAAGTGAGATACTACTCAATTTTTCATTACGAATGGTGTTGAAGGAGAGAAGTTATTAGGGAGAGGCACAGGGAGATGACTGAAAAATCTGGACAGTGAATTAGTTTTTGGTCTGCTTTATTTTGGCTGTGTGTAATCTCATGTTATTTCTTTTGAAACTTCTAACTGTTGTTGTAGACTTGCAAGAATAAGGTACCTATGGCAGGTAAGGACTTCAGTGGACATGGTATGAAAGATTACTTTTGGATAGAAGTTGTAACCCCAGCTGGTGAAAAGCTGGGTTTAAGGCACCAAAAAAAAAAAAACAAAACAAAAAAACAAACACCACAATACCTGGTCATTTTAACATGAATAAGTGAGCTGGTCTGATACTAGTTCATTGCAGCAGATAAGGAGAAACAAGAGAATCAGTGAGCTCTATCTACTTCTGCTCTTCCTTCCTTGTTACTGCCTGGATGGTTAACTAATATAATAACCACTTCTCTAACATTCTCAAGTATTTCATCGTTGAAAGCTGTTTTGGTATTAACTTCCTACAGCCCTAAGTGCTTACTTGCTGTCAGGAACTATTTCTGGTTTAAGTATATTGGAAGGAAAATGGAACTTGTGCTGGGCTGGTCAGCGGAGTGACAGACCATCACAACTGCCCCCTTGTCTCGTCTCTGATGCAAGCCACAGTGCAAATGTTTCCCAACACCTGATGCTGACGTTTTTGGAGACCTCTTTCAGGTCAAGTGCACTGGGTTTCGCAAGATTAAAGTTACAAAGGGGAATTTAGGTAGCTTCTTGATTTGTGGCTGAAAAAAAATATTTCTTGACTAATAGTAAGCAAAGGAGACACCTTCAGACTAGAGATGTGGGGAAGCAGTTGTTGCTGTTTGAGCAGAAGCCTTTTACTTTGCCTTAAGCCAGACCTGTCTGAACATCTGAAAAGCAGGATGGCAGGATGGAACTTCCTGAGATGTAAACTTCCTTTTTAGTGAAACTTTGTTTTCACTAGGGAACCATCAAATACTTACTGGAAGAAATCTCCTATTAGAAGTTGACATTTATTTAAAGAAACTCAAACTCTATGTGATGAACTTCAAAGCAAAAAGATTTGATTAAACTAGGCTGCTGAAGCTTTAGACCCTTGCAGCTGCAACTTTGCTAGCCTACTATCCTATTCCTATAAAACAAAAATAAGCCCTTGCTTACGCTCCCCTCCTGAGATGAATAAGGGGGGTTAAAACTGTCTTAAAAGAGGTTTCAGAATGCCCTGTTCACACTGAATGAGTCCTTAATTTGTTGTGTAACACACTGCCTGTGTCTCTGAGAAAGCATTACAAAATTAAGTTGATACTAGTCAATGAGCTTATAGTGGTAACAGCTTGTAGCCCTTTGTTCCCAGGAAGTAAAACGTTATCTATAAACACTGTTCATAATACTCATCACATCCTGAAAAGCCTCTCTGTACTAAGGAGGCTGTAATCTGAGCAAACAACTCGGTTATGTAAGCAGGAGTGATGCTTTCATAAGAGCAATTTTATATAATGCATAGCACAAAGTGAGATACACTGAAGTGGCACTTCCAGATTCTTTTTAAATTAGCCCATGCAGATTTAAAAACCCGTAAGAGGAATTTCCCATTTTAATTTAGGATTTGTCAAGAGATAAAAACAATCTCATTTTTCACCTGCTTTTGTTTCAAATCCCATTTGCTGCCTAGGAGACTTGTTATAACTGTATTACAGCAATGTGCCTTTCAGCAATGTCAGCAGATAGCCTGGACTTGGAAGGCTGAATCTCTTTCTGTCAAATCCTTGCTTCTGTGTGGGGTGCAGCATCCTAGCAGAGAAGGATGGGGAAGCTTTCCTTGCTGCTGGTGCCCAGGTAGTTTTTCAATTAAATGCCAGCTCCTTTTGCATTGGGTTGAGCCCCATTATGATGTTAGCAGTTCATCTGAAAAGGCATACAGGAAACTTTATTTTCTTAAATACATTCTTAATTTGTATTTCTATTTTTTTCCTAAGTACAAGTTAAGCTCCTCATGATGAAAAATGCTGATTTCCTTTACTAGATATATGTAGATTTCTTTTTTCTGGCTCTGCAAGCTAAAGAAGCTTCTACATCCCCTCATCTGCTGGTTGGATATTTGTTTGGCCTTCTAACCTGTTCTGGCCAAAGAAGGTTATCACAGTGCCTTCCAGTAGGATACAAACCCTACAGAACAAGAGCAGATTGAAAAAAGAAAGGAATACGGGCTCACCCTTTCCAATGACTGGTAATGGCTCAAGAGGAATGCAGTCTCTATCTAGAGAGATACTGCTTCCCTTGGCTGCCAACCCTCAAATGAGGTTGAGATGGGGCGGACTCAGATTCCACCCCTTTCGGTGGTTCTGTTGCACTGCATGCAGCTGAGCCCCCTGAGATAACCACAGCTTCTCACCTGGTGCTCCACCACCGGCTCAGGCTGTGACCTGCCAATTCCCCTGCAGCTAGGAAAGATCAACTGAGCAAAATGTTCCAAGTTAACTTACTCCTTTTTGGCTGAATTGCGCACCCAAAGTAGCTTTACATTAATCATGCATACTAACAGAAGAACTGTTGTACATAAATGCATGTATTGTTTATGTACTTACACTGTGTGTTTGTATTCAGACTGACACCCTCATCTTCCTGATACCCCTTTCAAGCTCCTACAACAGCAACAGATGAATCCCACCCCCTACCCCTCTCACTTGAAACAGTGATCGCTTAAAATAGGCAGTGAGTCAGTGTTGATAAAGCTGAGTTGTATTGATTTAGGGGTGTGTGTGTGTGTGTATATGGCATTGATCAGTCACTAATTACTAGAACAGAACCTATTTCTTCATTTTAACATAATTTTTTGTGAAGAGATTTGAAGGAGAGCAAAAAAATTTATTTATTATATTTAACTTCACATTCTTTAGTTACTAGCAAAATATCTGTGGCTTTTAGTTTCTAAGTACAGACTGGTACTATCTGAATTAAAATGAAAGCCTAAATTTGAAAGAATCTGCTGTTGAAAATAATTCTACTTGGTTGGAGTTTGGTTTTTTTTGTTGTTTTTTTGTTTTTTAACAAACATAACCTGATGCTTTTTACTGTAAAAGTAAGCTAAAGAAAGGAACTGTGAGATTTTTACTGCATTTTCTTGAGTCAGAAAAAATCTAATAATCTAAATGCTTATAGACATGAGGTAACATTGATGAATACATTAAACGAAATAAATCTGAGCAGTTAAGAATTCTCATCTATCCTACTGAATATTTTTGACAGATAAGAATGTGACTGTGTGAAATAAAAACACACGCAGGCAAATCTTTAGAGCTGGGGAGGGGGAAAACTGCTTTCATTCAACATAGCCTTCCAATTAGGTCACAGGTGCAATGAACTTGCTGGTCACAGCCGCCAAGTGTCTGGTGTGTCATCCTTTTGTGTGTTTTTCTCTTTAATTTTTGGAAAACAAAGCTTTCACCTAGCAGAATGAATCAGTGAATGCCAAGGCATGTCCCCTGCTGTTCCTGAGTAGATGTGACCTGCTGCACCAGCAAATGGTGTGCATGCTGTGCCTTCTAATGAGTCCAGAGAATCCAGTTTTCCCGTTTGCTCACATCTTTTTCCATTTTCAAGAACTTGAATACACTTCAGGGGTTTAGAAGAAAACAGGAAAAAAAAAAATCAACAAACAAAGAAGATCATCTCAGGCACAAGTTGATAGTCCTTTAGCTATCACTTCTAGAATCTGCTGTTTGCCTTGCTTTGATGATAACCTCAGGGATCTTAAAAGAATCCTTGAATTACTATGAAAAAAGGCACAGTCAGTTCTTTGTTTTATACTGATCTAAAGATGGGGCACCACGGTATAATTGCCTTCCGTTCTTTTTGGTCCTTCAGTGGGTAAAAATCCTGGCAGAGAGAACATGTCTTAAGTGGCAGTCCTTTCCTCCATTACATTGTACAACGTGCTCTCGCTGTGCAAATCACTAAACATGGCTGCTCAACTGCAGATCTACTCCCTGTGCATGTCAGAGGCATCAGATCAAAGGAATGTGGAAGACTTAATTTGTAGTCTTCCAAAGCTCTTGGTACCAACTGGCTGATGGTGGTACCTTGAAGTTTTATTATAAAGCTCATCTTCAACCACACTCGAATACCTTCATTGAACCTATACATAATAGTGGAATATTGTGCATGTACCTGAGAAGTAGTTTTGCAGAATGATACAGATGAAAAAAAAATTCTTTAAGGTACAGTGAACGTTGTGATGCTTTCCTGATTCTGTGTGAATGAAACAGTGGGGGGAAATGTTTGCACTAGAGATCAGATAATGCACTGAAACCTGGAAAAAAAAAAAAAAAAAAAGCTCAAAATTCCAAAGCTGTTGTGTGAGGGAGGAGAAAAATGCTGCTGTATGCCTGTGCTGTCTTTTGAAATCTATGGAATAGTAGTAGGTCCAGCTACTACTTTAAGTCTCTGTAGAGACTCATACCCTAATGAGCATTCTCGCAGAGTAGCTGATGCTGTATTTACTGAATGCTTTAGCAAGTAGCTGTGCTCAGCTGCCATATCTTCTCCTAGCAGATTTACATTTGTGTATGTCCTTGATATACAAAGTATGCTCGCCTATTTCCCAGCAGCCTAATTCTCACAAGCGACTCAAACTCTTTCCTTCATTCCATTCATCGGTCCAAAAACCCTTTGAAATGATAATGAACTCATATTTTCCTCAATACAACTTATACAACCTTATTTCAACCAAATTCAGAGCCTTTCTCACAGCTAATGGTTTCGTGGGAGTCCCAGAGTCCCAAGTGGGACATTCCTACATGTTGATTTGCTTGCCTTAGTTTTGCAAAGTTCCCTGTTAGTCACTGAATGGCAAAAGGCAAAATGTCAAGCTCCAGCCTGGATGCTTTGAACTGTTTACCAACTAGTGATTCTGAGGAACAAATTGGAGAGGAATGAGTGGTATTTAGGGTAGTCTTAAGCTACTCTTCGCTTAGTTGTAAATACTTTTTACAGTACTCATCAGTGCCTGCAGCAGCTGGCCTATCTGAAACTGAAAGACTGTGACTGCAAGATCTGAGAGACTGTTATGAAAGCACGTGGTATCAGACAGCAGAACTTCAAAGGTGAAGCAGTGAGATGGAAGAGAATTTAGAAGCAGCCAGTTAATAAGCTTTTTTCATTTGGGTGAGAGAAGGGAGATGACACCCAAAAATATTCCCTTGTTTCCTAGTCTATGAAGGGACTTCTTTTTGTTAAATAAACAGAAAGATCTTTTAGGATAAGTCTTAGATTCATAACACTGTCATGTTTCAACAGCTGTTTAAGTTGTAACTGGCAATGACAGGATCTCAAAGAGGGCTGGGGTCAAAGTCCCAGAATTAAACTATCTCCTATGACATCTTGTTTTGAGAAAATGGTCAGGTTCCCTTACAAGATACCAGTTGCACGGGAAGTATTCTTCTAAAACAAACAAACAAACAAAAAAATTCCACCACCTCCATTATAGTTAACTTGCCATGCTTTATGCCTGGGTTTCTGTGGGTCTGGGAATGGTAAGTAACTATTAGAACTCAAACTTGATGAAATACAGTTCTAGGCATCTTTCAGCAACTAATTTAAGACTGTATGCAACTTGGCTAATTAGAAAGAGAGCAATAGAAACTATACCTTTTCGTGCTATAAATTGTCAGTAATCAAAACAAAGCCCATTCTATGCTTGGCCTCTTATATCATTGATAAATCAAAGTGACATTATCCTGAGCTTTCTGATTTTTGAGATGATTGTTGGCAGGGCATACAAACAGTCTAGTGAATTGGTTCCATTCACATTGTTCCTTATATATTTGCCCAACTAGTTTTTTGAAGAGACCATATTTTCAATTCAGACTGTGTTTTCCGTTGGATGCTTGTTTAATAAGTTCCCTTTCTCTTTTTGTTGTTTTGTTTCCAGGATGCCAACTGTATGACTTTGGAGATTTGAATTTCACTCAAGTTCCCAATGATGAATTGTACAACAACCTGATTTATTACCCACGGTCAGTGGGGTTAGCCAGCCAGGTACTGGCTGATGCCGTAAGCAGAGCAGTAGCTGCTGGACACAGCTGTGTCACTATAGGAGGTGATCACAGGTATGCTCACAAGCCAGAGGCTATTTGTGTTGCATGCTTACAGGCTAATACTTAGAGGAGAGTATAAGAATTTAAATAAAAAATACAGGGCAGTGAGAAGGGGGGTCGTTCCCTGACAGTACCACAGCAGCATCTTGATTTGTGCATCTTTGATCTGTGTGATTTGATTTCTGAGGCTTCTGGGACGTGACATAAAAGCCATTTATAAAAACCTGGTCTCCTAAAGGCAGTATTGCTTAATTCCAGATCGTTCTTAATCTGTAAACATACAAATGAGATTTTCTTCTTTGGGAAAGTTGTGTGATCAGGTCCCTTCAAGAATTATTGCAGTTTCTTTATTGGTGAATGTTTAGTGACACGTCTGTTTTGACCCCTTAGCTCTCAGGATGTCATCTCTTAGAAAGGATCTGCAATGCCCATACACTGGCTAGTTTTTACTGGATGTTTTAATACATGAGACTGTCTTTCCATTCTTTTTCACTAACCTTCAGTGTAAGAAGTGATTGAACAAGGTTAGGCACATAAGAATGAATCTGAGGTGAAGGTAAGATGGCAAAATTGGCACACAGCAAATTACTCAGTGAGCATACCAGATTTCCTAAGAGCATCTGGAGCTAAAACATGCAAAATTTAGCTTGGGAAGGCTGGCAATGGAGAGAGAAGAGCTCTCTTTAATCTTTCATTACAAGTACTGTCCTGCAGAGTTATTTGGAAGTGGCATACCAGTAGTAGTTTGTACAACACACATCCTTTGTTCATCACAGGGATGTTCAATATATTGAAACATGACAATGATGCTGCCTGAATTTGGAGACTTCCTATTTCCCCTTCAGAACAACTACAAGAACAATGTTTTGCACAGTTGAGTAAAGACTTTGCTACTGTACTTGCAGCTTGGCACTTGGTTCCGTCAGTGGCCACGCACGACAGTGCCCACATCTCGGTGTGATCTGGGTGGATGCACATGCTGATATTAACACTCCTCTTACAACTCAGTCTGGAAACCTTCATGGACAGCCTCTCTCATTCCTCTTGAGAGAACTTCAAGATAAAGTAAGTATCTTGCTTAGACATTCAGCCTACATTGAAATCCTTTACATATTTTACTTTTTCTGGCATTGAGTGCTTTCTTAACTGCCACATGTCCCTGCCACACAGGGGGGTTGGAACTAGATTGTCTTTAAGTTCCATTCCCACCCAAACTGTTCTATGATGCTACAAGGACCCTGTAGGATCTACTGGAGACACAAGAGTGGTGTCCTGTGCACTTGTCAGGAGCAGAAGCCTTTAGGGTCAGAACTTAAGAAAAGTAACAAGTTTCTGTTAAGGATCAGGCTGGAGAGAGGAGCAGGACCGGCAACTGCATATTGGGAACAGACACCGGATCTGCACAAAAGCTGACTCTTGATTTTATTTTGGAACTTTGCACTGCTAGTCATTCCTTGAATTTTGTTTATTCCCTGATAAATCTCTTGGGTGCTGTGTTGATAAAATGCTTCTTCCAAATAACATCAAGAGTAACTGAATGTCTTTATGGTTGTTGAAGAGATTGTAACATTAGTACCTGTCTGGCATAGAAAGACTGCTCTCAGCTGGTGAAGTGCTTCTGCCTTTCTCCTGCAAGTTCATTTGAATGAATTCCATCTGCAAGTGAATAACTATTTGGTTCTTTTAAATACTTTCCTCTTGCTAATAATTCTTGCATGGTCACTTCAAACTTGCTAGAATTCCTTAAGTAATGCAAAATGAATAGGGCTTTGTGAAATAGTTCCACAACATGAGAAAGACAATATAGAAGGCTACTGTATTTCTTTGTCTTTTCTTCTTTAAGTTAAAGGGGATGACTTTTATTTGGCAGTTGTGCCTGCTTTTGCAGGAGAAATAGAGCAAAAAAAATTTTGAAGCTCACCTAAGGTGAACAATGTTGTATGTCTTATAAGAAAGCAATACTTACATAAAGCACTGAGTGTGGCTGTAAGTGCATTATGACTTCAAATGCTGTTGCTGGGATATAATTAGTAATTGAGAAGTATATAAGGGAAGCAAAACCTTCTTGCTATGTTGGCTCTAGACATATTCAGAGCTAGGAGAGGAAGAAGAGTAACGTGTGATAATTTAAAGCGCTCTTGAAATTAACAGAAGTTACTGACTAAATTTTTAACAAAATTGCACAGTATACCTGTTTCACTATCAAAGCTGACCTTTAGTGGGATCTCATCATTTTTCCATTCGCAGCCTTGCTGTTCTAGACCTGTTCTCTGGAGTTTTACCTCACAATAAAGCCTAACACAGACTCTCCTTCCCTGCCCCACCTAGAAACCTGCTCTTTAACCCTGTTTTTGCAAGAGTTTGCCTGACTTCTTGATGACTTTCCTAAAAATGTAGAGATACCTTGGGTTTTATCCTACTCTAGTAGGACGTACTGGCTAAGTCACCTCACACTGCCATTATGTACACTGGGTTTCCGGCTTCTTCTAATCTCCTAATATATTCACCAATACTAACTACCAATTGCTTATGGATTTGAGCTTTTTTCTCCTCCTTTTCAGACTGAATAAAAAATTTAATCCATTAATGTATTCAGCTCAAGTGAAATGATGTGACGTTGGCAGGGACTGATTACATCAGGAAACAAGACACTCAAGTAGTGAACTCTTCTCTATAGGCAGAGAGAAGATGCTATAAGTAAAGTTTTGATGGAAGAATTAAATATAGGTTTGTTATTATAATTCATTAAACTAATCTAACACCAAAACTTTGCCTGCAGGTCCCGCAACTTCCTGGCTTTTCCTGGCTAAAGCCCTGTCTTTCAGCATCTGATATTGTGTACATTGGGTTGAGGGATGTGGATCCTGCTGAATAGTAAGTTGATTTAAAGGATTCTTGTAAACTGAAATCACGGGCTTCTTCCACACCTGGCTGTTCACAAGAATTGTACAGTTTACGTTTAGGCCGCTAATAATTGCCACTATTTTTAAAATCTTATTCTAACAGCTATATTTTGAAAAACTACGACATCCAGTATTTTTCCATGAGGGATGTTGATCGCCTTGGGATCCAGAAAGTTATGGAAAGGACATTTGAACAACTGATGGGCAGGTAACAAACTATGGGCTTAACTACTCTATCAACTGGCCAAGTACTTACTTTCCCAAGAGTTATGTAAGTGAAGGTCACTGATTATGTAAGGTGGCCTAAGCAAAGTGTTAAAGTGTCCAGTAAACTGTAGCATTGACTTGAATCCTTGACTTGAACATTTTAGAACAGAACCATTTCACAGTGTTTGGCAAAAATTGAGAGGAATTACAGCGGTAGCAACTAAAAAAGCCTGCTGTATATTATGTGTCCTGTTTCTTGAGGAATCCTGTATTTTGCTGTTGTTGAATCGACTCTGAGCCTTGAGTATCCCTTTCAAAATTATATATATATTAGTAACTGAATTCAGCTGCAGTGAATGAGGTAGAAGCATTTAACAGCTTCTTCCTTAGACTGAAACAGATGCCCAGTGAAACTAGAAAGACAAACTTCTGTTTTCCCAAGGTATATTAGAAAAAAGTTTGAGGTAAGAGATGTTTCAGAAAACCAAAAGATTAAAAATATACATGTTTCCAAATACATATGTGTATAATCAAAGAATACTAGGATGTTATAATCA